CACAACGCCCAGCTATTTTTTGTTGCAGTTTGGCCAGGGCTGGGTTTGAACCTGCCACCCTCAGTATATGGCGCTGGCCACAGGCGCCACCCCACATGTTTATTTTTATTCAACATAAAGACTAGTTGTGCCAAGCACTCTGCTAGGCGGCAAGGACGTGAGCATGACTAGGACAGACATGGTCCCTGTTCCTGGCGGGGAAGGGATGTAAGCAACAGCTTAAGAGCTCTGATGAGAAAGGCACAGGAGTCATGGGAGAGTCAGAGAGGCATCTAGCCAGCCTTTCCTGAAGTGTCCTGAGGGACAAGAAGGCATGGGATTGGAAGTAGGGCGCTAAGGGGGTTCAGGAAGAAGGAAAAGTGTCTGAGGAAGCCTATACTTGTCAATTCTAACCTGTCCAGAAACATTAGAAAGAATGTTTCTAGCTGTAAGAAAATCCATGATTTAGTGATAAGTGTCTGAAACATTTTGTGTCACACAAACTCGGCTCAGAAGGAACCACGTGCGGATGACAGTAAAAGACCTCTGTCACGGAGAGTTTTTCAGAGAAAATACTGATAATGATTCAAAGAATGACAGCAAATCAGGCTTGTTGATGCATTTTATTGTGAGATGGGGGAGTCTGGTAAAAAACTAGAAAATGACCATGGTGTAACAAGGAACTTAAAAATGAAGAATCAGATTTGTAACTTACATACATGAATACAGGAACAAATTGGCACAAAATGTTAAACATTGTTCCCAACACTGTTTATATAAGGTAATCCTAATTTGGCTTACTAAGGAAATGAGAGTTTTATGGTTAGGCTAATCTCTTAATAAAACTGCAGAGCATATCATGCTATTAGTCACACAGTGAATTTCAAAATTTAAGTTTTATATTAAAAACTGGGTAAAGGTAAAATGACTTGATTGTAGTTGTAAAACTAATACATTCCCATTTAAATTCTGTTCTACAGTCCAAGGCAAGTATAAATGTTAACATAACACTGTTAAATCAAATCTCAATGTAAGAGAACCAATTGCATCTCTACTTTAAATCTTATCAACTTTCCAAATTTTCATACTAAAATATATTATTGTATTAATACAAACTACAGTATTATACACTACACTGTGTAATAAATAAAGAAATATAAAAATAAGACACATAAATATAAAAGTTTTCTAAAACTAAAAGTACATATGTCAGTAAGAAGGGTATTAATACTGCCAGGTTTGAAGACATACAGTACAAAAATGTTGCACAGATCTATAAACTAAAAGAAATAAAATAATACTGATAGGTAAAAATCAGCTAATGTTGTTAATAAATTGGGTCCATAATAACTAACATTTGGAAACAGTTATGAGCCAAATAACGATGGCATGTCCATGTCTGAAATGCCAGTACATGGATAAAGCAGATTAGAAAATTTCCCTTTCGTTTCTGTAGAGAAACTCTGAAAGTCAATTAACGCAAAATGAATACTGAGGAATTAAAGGATGAAATGTCCCAGTGTTTCAGTTTCTCTGACAGAGTCAGTGGTTTTAAGTTTTATTTGGGAATTTGTACAATAAATCAACAAATGCTAGTTATTGTAGGCCACGCATTGGATGAAGGCGGGTTAGAGCCTTGAAAATACTGAGAAATGGCACTTACAGCACACAGGTCTTGCTTAAGGCCAGAGGAGATACAAAGCTTCATGTCATATCCTTCATATTTGTTACCACGTACTCAAACACAATCACAGACACTGATTTTGACGACTTCGCTGTCCTTACCAGTATTAACACTGTTAGTCCCTGCAATCAGAACTCAATGACAATCTTGTGAACTCCATTTTACACGACATGAGTAAGAAACTTCAGTTCTTCTACCGGCTGCTTTCTTAAGGCTAACAATACACTTTAAATGATAATATGCTCTACTATGACGTCTAAATATTAGAAATCACTACCTTCTAGCTTGGATTTATAAAAGGTAGTTAGCATGGTTTGGAACTCCATTAGACTTCTCTGTGAAGGGCATTTTGTAGTGCAGAAGTTCTCACATTTTAAAAAACATAATAAAATACTGAAGCGGATTTAGCATATGTTTACCAATAAAAAATTATAAAATTTCTCCCAATTGTACAGCTTAAGAATAAACCAACATAAGAATGATAATACTGATAAAAGAAGACAATGCCAGATGCTCATCTAATCAGTTTCCTTTAACCTGTTAATCTTTGTTCTCTGAGTCATTTAAGTTTTCTAATCTGCTTCTTGTTACAAACGTTTTCCTAACTTTGAAAACTGCATGAAAAATTACTAGGTCTGAAGTTCAGGCACACCTGGATATTTTTTTTTTTTGTATGGTTTTTTTTGTTTTTGTTGTTTTTTTTTTTTGTATTTTGTGTTTTTTTTTTTTTTTAGTTTTTACTTTACACAGTAGTGAACGGGAATCACAGCATACAGGTTACTGTGTTTCCATGAAAAGCATGGGTAATATAGAACAAACTTCATTACCAATTTAGAATTTATTTTCCTTCTAGAAAAACTATTAGGCTTCATTTGTTTTCTCTTCAGACACCTGCTCACTATCCTCGCTTACTTTTTGCTCCAGGCTGCTCGCCCGGCCGGCAGCTCCCTCGGCCTGCACGGGACCTTCAGTTTTTGTTCCTCCCTCCTCCTCCTCCGCCTCTTCTGCCTCCTCCTCCTCCATCTCCTCCTCCATCTCCTCCTCCTCTTCCTCATCCCCTTGTGGTTTTCCACATTCCTTTTCCTCCTGCAACTCTTCCATCTCCTTCTCCTCCTCCTCCTCTTCCTCCTTGTCACTGTCTTCGTCCTCTTCCCTTGTCGAACTCTCCCTCTCGTCCGAGTCCCCCTGCGAGGGCGAAGCCCTGGCGCCGCGCTCGCCGGGGACCCCGGGGCCCGCCTCCTCCTGCTCCGCGCCGTCGCGCTCCTCCGCTTCCCTCTTGCAATACGAGTAGCGGTGATTCATGTGCTGAGAGTAAGACCCGGAGTGTGAGAAGCGCTTTCCGCATTTGTCACATTGGTAGGGCTTTTCTCCAGAATGTAACCGCATGTGTTCGATCAAGTGGTGTTTGTGTTTAAAAGCCTTTTTACAGATTCCACACTCGTGGGGTCTTTTCCCTGCAAAATAAGAACACAGCTTTGAAATAAATGGTGGCATTATGCAAATTAAATCCTTATAAGGCTTTGGGGGCACTTTAGTTTGTGGAGAGGAAATAGTTGTTCCTTTCATAAAAACATAAAAATAAAAAAACTTCTAGGTCCAGAAATCTTTGTAACATAATTTGGTTTGTCCTTTATACCCCCAAATGTAGTATCCTATACTCTGCTTTGCAATTAAAAGGCCAAGGGAGGAGCTGTATGAGGTTGAAACGCCAACAATACAAGCATCAGGACACCCTTATGCAAAACTGAGCAAGTGAAGCTTCCGGAAGGTATTGGGCAGGAGGGGACTGGGGCTCCTCTCAACTTGGTTTTTTCATTATCACTCCCCAACCTAGAGCCCTGTTAGACATTTTCTTCTTAGTCACAACCTCTACCCCCAGTGAAATTTTCATGCTTCATATATACCTTTTACGGATGATAAAACTCAACATGTAATGTATATACTGAAGTCAATGAGAAACCACAAACCACTGTAATATCTCAGATTATTTTGACCCCTGAGAAACCAGTTTCGCCCCTGGAGGGTAGAGGAATGCTGCTGCCCAGACAGGGGAAGAACCGGCACCGTGATCATCTCAGGACTGACAATATCCAATTTCACTGCTATCACCCAGTTAGCACTAACAAATGCAGACACCATGTTTTTGATTTTTAGGACTAGTGTATTTTTCATATATAGTTTTCATTTTAGTATTTGCTAATACTTTAATGGGGCCCAAAGACAAAGGAGATTTTCTAATTTTTCTGAGATCCCCATGAAAACATCCAGAGGAATGAGTGACAAGGAGCTTATTTTGAGAGATCCAACTTGCCTATTGTAATATTAGCTTTAACTCTAAGAAGTGTCCAAGTGTCACTGCAGGTATCTTTCAATCTACAGATTGATGGAGGAAAAGTCTGTGTATCTTTTCTCACAAGAGTTGGAAATGAATTAAAATAGTTGATAGAAATATGAAAGGCAAGGATAGTACAGCTAAAACGGCTGGTGGTGGGGCAGGGAAGAAAGGGCAGGAGTTGTAAGAGCTCATGACAAACGGCTCAGGCCATTCCAGCAGCCCATGCTGGAGAGACACAGGGTGTGCTGGAGTCAGTCTTTACTGGCTGGACAGAATCTACTGCTAAATCTTTAGGAATCCTGCAAGTTGACTGACATCACCCAGCTTGAAATCAGCCACTGTGGGAGTATTCACGTCACAAAAACCTGCAAATACTTCAAATCAGTCTCCTCCACCCTTCTGAGAGCCAGTTGTTAGCAGAATGATGCTAAGATCCCTTTCAAATAGCCCACTAAGTGTGTATTTTGTGAAAGAATCACAGTACCCAAGACTTGAAAGGGACATAAGCACTATCCTTTGTAAACACAGAAAGTCTGCATGACATCTTCAAGTGACAAGGACAGAACCCTGTGACTTTCCAGGACAGCAGGCTACATGCTTCCAAAGCAGCTGTTTATTTCATGGAGACAGATCCTGTCTCCCTATCATTTTAGCCCACTGGGTGCTGTAGTTTACTGTTTTTTATTATACCAGCACATTTCATTTTAAATGAATATGGACAGAATAAATGCTGTGCCAGCCCGAAGGAATTAAGTCAGTAAAGGGATATTTAGGGCAAAAAACAAAAATAAAGGCACACACCTTAAGAACTAGGTAGAAGTGGGCAGATAAATGAATGTGGCAACATCAAAGAAGTAGAAAACAAAAAGAAAATTAATTCTAAGAACTTTAGTTTTTATTCTAGCATTTTTCAGTATATTGTATCACAGGCACTTTAAAAAAGGATAGTACGTTTGACGTACCTGTGTGTTCATATTTATGTCTCAATAATGAGCTACTCTTTTGAAATATCTTATCACACAAATCACAAGCATACATTCCATTTTCCGTCTTCCGCATTTTCTTTTTGGGTGGTGTAGAATCAGAGTCATTCTGATCCTCTACATTTGATACTCCTTCTGAGCTAGTGTCTTGCCTTTCATCCTAAAGGAATAAAAGAATAAAAAAATTAATTTAAAATCAAAAGGTAAGAGATATTAAAAAAACATGGGTTAAAGAATGACTTTGACTTATACTTTGAATGTATTGACCAAAGCAAGCATGCGGCGCTGCGCGTGGGCTGCAAGAGTGGGCGTAGATCGTAGGTGGGGCTGATATAGACAAGAGTGAGGCTGGAAAGGATATAGTCCAAACTTTAGAAAACCATACACGTCTAAACTGGTACTGACAGGAAAGACAGCAGAAAGAAAGAATCTAAAATGCACAGTAACAAAATTTACTTGGTTCCATGTAAATCAATACTATGAGAAATTTGCAGAAAGTTTTAGCTTGTGAATATGCTTCTTAATCACGCGATTACTAACTGCATCATTTACCTTCATTTTTTAATTCTGTGTTTCCTCAAGCAAAAATCAAGATGCTATTTTTTTAAATTGGTCTTTAAATTGTAACCCCCAGAACGTCAGTGTTCTTGGAACTAACTTCCATGGCCTACTTGAAAAGGGAGAGGTTTGCTCTGCTTTCGTAATGAGTTGGAAAAGCAATGCAGGAGGGTTTACATGTTTAAACGGGAATATCTGCTAGTCAAAATGAGTCTTTAGAACTCCAGTGGAATATAAAACATTCAGGCAGTGTCAAGGGGATAATTTTGGGCAGCAGGCTGTCTTGTAGGTAGAATAATCCTGTAGGGAACCTGTTGAAGAATTAAGTTTCTGAGATCTTTTTGCTTTTTCTGGATTATTGAATTCTGTCGCCTCTAAGCCCACAAATTTTGTAAAAGTTGAAGGCTTTTCCAGAACATTTCTTACGGCTTCATAAAGCAGGAGAGGTGTAGCCATTTGTCTGAGTCATCTGTGAGTTGACTCTGTTTTCATTGCTATTTGGGCTAGTCATGTGATTATGTGAAATGTTGAGGGTCACTCTTTTCCTATTCAAAGGCTGCAAAGTGTTCTGTACACTAAAAATTTAGATGACTTCACTGTTCATGTGAAAATTTTTCTCAAAAGTTATCGTAATTGGGGCGGCGCCTGTGGCTCAAAGGAGTAGGGCACTGGCCCCATATGCCAGATGTGGCAGGTTCAAACCCAGCCCCGGCCAAAAACTGCAAAAACAAAGGTTATCATAATTGTAGAAAACCCAATCAGGAGCAATATTTAAAGGAAAACAGAAGCAGCAAATATACATTTAAGCAAGGTATTGAAATTATTATTTTATGCAAATATTTGCATGAAAGATCAAATTTATCTCTAGCATTTATTTGATTCTTTCAGAAATTGATGGAAAAAAATGAGGGAAACATCAACATTAATGGCACAGAAAGAGCCTTGACAATAAGACATATGACAGCTCTATGTAAAACTACCATAGATTTTTGAACAAGACAAGTTCAAGTGTTCTTCCTGGACAGAATAAATATTGTTCTGGTTAACACTAATTATCGTGAAAGAGAAGACCCATATAGAGGCTCATAGCCATATTTCCTCATATATATTAATTATGACTAAATATTTTATCTGTAGCTTATACAATCAGTAAATTCACTATATACATTCACTGTATACTTAATTCTTATTTAATTAAAGCCTTTTATGAAAAGAGGTGTTAGTACATAAGAGTGATAGCCAAATCTGCCTGGAGTGAACTTATGAATGGGAAGGAATACATTTTTATTCATTAATGATCATAATCAAGGCAGAAACTATTACTAATTTTAGGAATTTAGCTATAGAAACAGAAATCCATTATTATTTTTTCTTTTCTCTTTTATTTCTAACTTCAGATAGATATTTAGCCGAGGCTAATAAATCATTTTTCAAAGTAGAACAACATTTCGAAGTTTAATAGGTTAACAGTATCTTGGATTAGCCAACAATAGAAGACATCATGCCATGACCATTGGTAACGACTTAGTTGGCTCTACAGTGACTGATTTTTATCAGAAAGAGTTAAATGAAATTAGTCAAACTAGCATTTTACTAGCCAGGTTCAGGATGGGGGGATTGCTTACCTGATTTCCATTTGGCTGGATCACTTTCAAGGGTGGTTCCTGGACTGCAGGGCTGACTGTAGTTGAGTATGTGTAAGCCACCTGGGGGATCAGAATGGTTTGCTTATTGGCAGCTATTGCTCGTAAGCATGGGACACTGCTCTGGTCAGCAATGGCCACAATTGTGGGCAGCTGGGCAGTGACTGTAGGTAGAGCAATGTTAATGGGGTTGGCACTTGGTGGGATTACATTTACAACTGGTTCTGAGTCTGTAACACCACTGTCCTTTTGTGGCTCCTTTTTTGCGCAAGACAAGTTCAAGGGTTCTTCCTGGACAGAATAAACACTGTTCTGGTAAACACTAGTGATAGTTGACCTTTCCAGCAATTCTCCCTGTTGCTTTGGTAGTGAAAGATCAAGAGGTTCTACTTGTGGCTCTTCTTGTGCACCCTCTGCTGTGTACAAGTAACCCTGTGCATTTCTGGATGAGGAAAGGTTTAGAGGTGATGGGGATGGTGTACTACTTCTGGAACCATTGCTGGTTGATCCCACTGGTAAAACGGGAGAGTTTGTCATCTTCGAAGGACTCTGGAGATTTCCGGTGCTGTCCTGGGGCTCATTTGCATTTGCAGACTGAGGCTGATTATCGTTCTTTGCGGGGATGTTTACTTTGCCTGGTTCAGGAGAAGATGGTTCCGAAGACTGCACTGAAATCTGTCCAGCTTGCATCTTTTCAAACCACTTTTTTACTACATCCAGTGGTAGGTTTACTGAATCAGCTATTTTTGAGAGCTCTTCTGCACTTGGTTGTGCGTTTAAAGCATAATATGCTTTTAAAAGAGACAAGAGGTTCTTTAAAGGTGGTTGACTGGGGGATAAATTGCCATCTGCAGTACCTGATGAGACAGAGGACTCGGGCTTCTCAGCTTCCGGTGCAGGGAGTGGAGAGGGTTGAGCAGGCTGCTTCAGGTCATAGTGCTTTAGTTCTGGAAGTGCGTTAAGGTCTCCTGGACAGTCATCACACAGAAGGCAAGTGCTATCATTCACTCCCCCTTCAAAGCTTTTGTCCTTCTCAGATTTAACAGTAAGATCTTCCGGTAGCTTTTCACTCTTGCAACTGTTTGTGGGGACGGGATTTTCTTTTTTTAAATTTTGAGGAACAACTTGAAGTTGGCTAGGCTGCTCAAGACTGTAGTTGATGATGATTTTGGTTGTTCCATCTTGATCAACCAAAGGAAGACTGATGGCTGAAATAACAGAATGGCCACCTTGTTGTATGGATGAAGCATTGATTGTTTCTTGTTCTTTGGATGCAAGATTGGCTTGATTATTCTCCAAAACTTGCCTTATTACATTACCGTCTACGGCCACTTTCAGTACATTCTGAATATCACTTAAGTTGATACTTATGGGAGACACCAAACCCACTGTTGGCAGAACAACAGCTTGCACCACACCCTGAGGAGAACTGGTTGCCTGCAATGGGCCACCACCACTAAATACCCCGTTTTGTAAAGGGGTTGAACAGTTGATTCCTGAAGCAACCACTATGGGTTTGAATTCATAATCCACAGGTTCAGTTTTAATTTGGTTTACAGAAAGTTGTTCTTGAAGGGGTTTATTCTCTATCTTCTGCCGTATCTGTGGCCGTGTGGGACTGCCTGGTGATGCTGAGAGAGATGGTGAGGAACACTGAGATGTCTTGAGTCCTGTTCTTGGTCGCCCATTCACAGGCATCAAGCTGATACATTTTTTACTGCTTATGTGTGAGCTATAGGAACCAGAATGGGAAAAACGTTTCTTGCAGTTTGGGCATTCATATGGCTTCTCTCCTAAACAAACAAACAAAAAAATTATATTCGCTGAATTATTAAATATAATTTTTTTGTATCCACACTTTCCTTAAAACAAGCAATAGAAATTTTAAAAAGGAGATCTCCCTACATGCTTGGAATACTATTTTATTTAGAATCATTATTGTAAGTTCGAAACCTACAAAAATGTTATAAACACTAGTAAAACCTTAGTCTGAACTACATATGCCAGCCAATCAGGGACTCTTCTCAGCACACATATAAAGTATTTCTGCCAACCTTTACAACTTCAAATAATTCTCAAAAACCAAAAAAAAATGATATTTACCCTTTCAAGTAATTTTTTTCTTATCTTGTTTCACTGAACTACATACATAGTTTAATATATTTCACTCTAGTTAACCATCTGTAGGAGAAATTAATATTAGAAGGAAGAAAAGGAAAATCTCCCAGAAGACTTAGTAAGTATGAATATCACCCCTTGAATGATAAAAATTCTTGTAGACATAAATTCTCTTGAAAAAGACTTTTCCTAACGTGAGGAAAACTTTAAATATAAAGTATTATTGTAAAGTATTGGCCTATGAAATGGGACCCCCGAGATGGAAGTCCTACTGAGTATGCAAAGCACCTTCTGGTCAGCAATGGCCATGACTGTGGGCAGCTGGGCAGTGACCAGTTTCAATTTTTGTACAGTAGATACCATAAGACATTAATTTTATATTAAAACAGATGGAGAAAAAATGCAACATTTGTATCATTTGTATGTTTGTATCTAACATTTGTGGCGTTAGAAAAACACCACCATGTCAAGAGGCTTCTTGCTTGAGGAGGTCTTGCTCAAGCTGCCTCCCTAGACTCTCCAGGGATACAAGGCATTTATTGTCCTTGGCCATCAGGAGTACTTTGGGAGAAAGTGGTGAAAAGTGTGAGGCCCATGGAATATATTTATACAAACCTAATTTGTCATTTTAGTTCCTATACAGTTACAGTTCATTAATTTGTAATTTCCGTGTTACAGATGGTAAGAGTCAGTAAGGTGGACCCTCCGGGTCTTGCTTGCCATTTGTCCCTTGCATCTACCACAGGGTAGGTCACACAGATGCTCCTGAGGCCTCTTTCGGATGAATGAAAGGCCCACTGCTGAATTATGAAGTGTGATGCTGATTTGTCTGCTCAGTATCAAAATAAATCTCCCCTCTTCCTTTTTAAGAATTAAAATGAAGCCTTCCAGTACAGCCTCCTTTTCAATAAAGAGCTCATCTCACATCACCCTGGACATCAGCTGGTCTCTCAACTCCTCTAGTAAATAGGAGGTTATAACCTAGAGGACAGCCCTGTTCAAGAGGGTCATATCTGGTTCAGATAAAGACCAAGGATTTGGGATCAAATCCGGCTCTGTCACATGCTATTTTCTGAACCTTTCCAAGTCTCAGAGTTCTGGTGTATAAATGCAGAAACATTCTTAGTGGATTGTTAGAGAGGTTATATGAGATTACATAGTAAAACCCTTAGTATGCTTATCAAGTGTTAGTGATTCTTTTATAAAACAGTTCTACTGAGAGAGAGGCTGAGTCAGCTTGCTAAACTGCCTATTTCCCTGGCCTAGTCTCCCCTTCTAATGCCACAGGGACAAGTGCAACTTTTCTGCCATAAGCCAGCCTTTCACATTGATAAAAAGCTGCCATATGGATCCCTAAACTTCCCTTATGCCGGTTTAATCTACCCAGGTCCTTCAAACACTCCTCATAGGATGTGATTTTCAGAACCGTACCTACTTGTTAACCTACCTCTGATATTCTCCAGCTTATCAATATCTTTCCAATGAAATGTCTGGAATAGGATTTCAATACTGAGAATGCATCAGGTCAACGTTTCCAATAGAGGTAAAACAAGAGAAATATTCTAGTATAACTCTAGTTTAACATTTTTAATTACTTGATAACATTTTTAGGTTAACTACATGCTAATTTTCCTGTTAGAGACCTAGGAAAATAAACATCTATAATACAGACTAATTAATCTTTATGAGTAGGGAGACAGAGGAGAATAATAGGTAAGGCAATGAGTTTGGAGTCAGTGACCACATCATACCCCAGTTTGCTACATACTAGCTAAGTGATCTTGGACCAGTTAACTAAGTACTCTGAAATTCAACTGTTTCATCAGTAAAAGGGAGGAAATAACAGAATCTACCCTATAGGAGTATATGAATTAATACATACAAATAATTAACATGTAGCTGAACACAGTATTATAAATGCTAGTTATCATTATTATTGTTGGGAATTACCTTACTATTTTATCATTGCCAGAAAGTCTACCAAGTAATTCTAAAAAACCCAAAGTCACTCACTATGTTTGTTAGAAAACTCTTGGTTTCTAACTTTATAGCTGTATGGTTTATAGCTTAAGCATATTAACTAGTTTATCTACTGAGTTTAGATGTGCAACTAGTTTAGGCTGGTGTTTACATCAGGCAGTTTCACTACTAACAGCTGGATATACAGTAAATACTGAGATTTTTTTTTTTTTAATGGCTGAGGTGGGTGTTTGACTGCATCTTATGTAATAAACATTTTCTAGGCTATTATTACTAAGGCCATGAAACAAACTCAAAATTATTTTTTGGAGAGGACGGTAGCTCACGGGCAGGTGCTCTTTTGTCTCAAATCTGAGTTGAGGTAAGGTAGCCTTCTCATCATAGCTCAGTGCCTACATTCAGAGTTTAAGTAATTATTAACACACATCATTATACACAGGGTTCATTATTAAAATTTTATAGTATCAGGACATGGCAACAATGTAGGTAATTGTAGGAAGTATCATTCTGGACCTGACCCTCAATATCTTTTAAAAACTCATCTAAAAAAAATTGAAGAGGTTTCCTGAAGGAAATATAATTCATCCATTATTAGATATTCTAAACAGTGCTTTTTAAACTACCTGTGATGAAGGACCAGTTTGTTTTTTTGGTTTCTTTTGTTTTAGATTTCCAATCTGCTGTGGACCAATAAAACATCACAGCAATGTCTTGGTATAATAGTTCATAAATACTCTCAATTTTTGTATTTATCTCTTCAGTAATGAGTAACGAATGGTTTGCAGACTGGCACCAGTCTTGAGATGACACTTTGGGTAAGGCATGCTTGAAAACCTCCCCTTAGAATAAGCTAGACCACCAGAGAGCTGTCTACTTGGCCTAAAAGCAAGAGGGCACCTTGGAGAAATACTTTTTATAATTTGTACTCTGTTGAAGTATCACTGGCTTCTATTGATTTTTTTAAAAAAACTATTAAATTTTTTGCTGTATGATTTTATAGATATTTCTGAGGATAATGTTATCAATACATTGCATTTTGTTCTTTCCTCTTTACAATGCTCTAAGGAACATTTCCTGGGGACTCAGTATCAGGCATAGTTGTCCTTTTCTAGCAAATGATTCTTTTTACTCACAGACACTCTGAGTCTTGGTTATTGATTGCTGTTTTATTTTTGCATCCTAAGTCTTAGAGCCTAATTTGTGGTCCATTTCTAACAGGATATAAAGGACTTTATATCCAAATTTTTTAAATACATTTACTTCATGTTGGTCTTTCTTAATTTTTCTCATATAATTTTATTTATTTATTTATTTATTTTTTGTAGAGAGCGGGTCTCACTTTATCGCCCTCGGTAGAGTACTGTGGTGTCACACAGCTCACAGCAACCTCCAGCTGTTAGGCCCAGGCAATTCTCTTGCCTCAGCCTCCTGAGGTTGGTGATTTCTGTTTTATTCTGGAACTGCATTTCTAAAAGTGTTGTTTGCTCATTGAGGTTAACCCTTAAATAAGCCGAAGTTACCACTTGAAAATGCTCAAAACCAAGATTCTTACCAAAACATTCATTTATTTTCACACATCGATTAATGTTTCTCAAAAGTAGAAGTTGTCAGCTTGCCACAGAAACCAATTTTTAGCTCCTATACTATTGAACAGTTTTCATCAATAATATATTTTTAATAGCCTGTCTTCTTAGCAGAGATGATTTGAAGGTAATAAGAGTTATACCTAATTCAAGAGAGTTCTTCAAATGTTGAAATTGGAGTAGAAGAAGGAAAATAAAATAAACCTTAGAGTAATATTTATTTTGTCCTTTTGTTACACTGCATGAAGGAGAATCTATCATATCTATAAATGATACAAAGTTGGGAAGCATAGATCATAACACAGTACTAGTCTAGAAATAAGATGTTGAAATTTAAATGCAGAATCCTGCATTAAAAACAAGTCTCAATCAAGTTGTAAATGTGAATGGTCCAGAGCTCAGTATGAGCTGACAGTGTGCTGCCACTCACTGCTTCAAAAGCTAATGCAAATTTAGGCCAGATCATGGAACACAAAACTCCTCTGCACTGCTCGTTCCTTGTGTACTTGTTTCTGTCTTGTTTTCAAAATTATTTAATATGAGGTTTGTATGCCTTTACTAGAGCAGTAATTTTAATTTAAAATTATATAAAGGTAGCACATGTGGCTCAGTGAGTAGGGTACTGGCCTCATATACTGAGGGTAGCGGGTTCAAACCTGGCCAAAAAATAGCTGGGCATTGTGATGGGCACCTATATCCCAGCTACCTGGGAGGCTGAGGCAGAGAATCACCTAAGCCCAGGAGTTGCAGGTTGCTGTGAGCTGTGTGATGCCATGGCACTCTACCGAGGGCGATAAAGTGAGACTCTGTCTCTACAAAAAAAGAAATCTACTAAGATATCAATTATTTACTGAAAGCTTCTCCATATTAGTTTTTATCCTAAAAGAAAAGTGAGGAGTTCCTGATCATGTATGTGGATCTCATGCTATGAGGAATTTATTTAGTACCACACATGCTATGACATTCAGGGTGTAGAAAGCAAATTGATATTTACCACTGTGAATTCTTAAGTGCTCTTTAAGGTGATGTTTGTATTTGAAAGCTTTTCCACATTCAGTGCACTTGAATTTACGATTACCCCCAGACTGCGTCACATGTCTCTGTAAGAAAAAAATTGGTATTTTATTTACAAAGCAAAAGAACTTCACTGAAGAATATCTACTATGCTAGAAGTAATGTTTCAGGCGATTTCAGTGATTGTGTTATTTCTTAAGGCCTTCCATTTGTAGCAGTTACAAAAATCTAACTAAATCTTGAATTTACTACTCAAAAGGATGGTGATGCTGGGAAAAAGAATTGTGATACAGAGAAAAATTTCCACATTCTCATTGAAAGTTTCAGAGTCACACTTTATTATAAACAATACAGCACAGTTACTCAACAGAAGAGCAAAGTCTCTGAATAGAAGGGAAAGGCAGGTTTTTCTAGTACTTACTTTATCTTGCCTCTTGTAAATGTTTAATATTTCCAAAACATACTCTAAATCTGATGATTTAAAAAAATACTTTCTTTTTTTCAGCCAAATGTGGACTTTTCTAGTATCTGTCTGGTTTAACAAATTCCCATTTTTATATATCTCAAATGTAGTCTTCACACTTAGATTAATCTTACAGAAACACTGAACTGTACCAACTCCTCTCCTACTCATGAAACTCTGAAGGATTCCCCTTCACTCCTGCATAAAGATTCTGAGTCTATGACTCCAAGATGACTGCCCTTGAGTTGCTGGGTGATTCTCCACCAGTTCTCCACGAGACGTCCACACCTCAGTAATTTAGCAAGTCACCGCTTGCTGCACATGCTGCTCCCCTCTCTCTCCTTGCTCTGGTTTACGCTATTTCTTACTCCTTGGCTATATTTCCCTTTAATTCTGACTGTTAAGATTCTATCTTTTTTAAAGGCTTGAAACCTGCTTCATGCTCACCCTATCTGGAATTTCCCTTCTGCTGTCTTTTACATAGGAAGGAAAGAGAATAAGTACTTTTTCTGTGCTGGGCCCTACTTCATCCAAATCTGTGCTTAGAGTACCAAACATATGGCATTTATATACCTATTTATATCTCTAAACCTCTGCCCTCAACTCCAGACATTATAGCCAACTGCTTTTCTGATATTGTCAGTGGCATCTGAAACTTAGCATGATACGAAACTTAATTTCCCACTGCAAACTGACTCTTTCCCTAGTGTTTCCTGTGCATCTTTATTCATTCTTTATTGCACAGGCCTCAAAACGTGGAGTTGCCCTTGATTCATCTTGTTCTCTTATACCCTTGCCCAATCCATCAGCAACCCATCTGAATACACTCTGAATCCAGTGTTCCTCACTCTGTCTGCCACCAGAACGTCTAGCCTGGATTAGAGCTATAGGCTCTAAATGGTCTTCCCACATTTATTCTTGTCTTTTTCATCTATTCTCTACCCAAAAGTCAATGTTCTCTTAAAAAAGCCCCAATAACCTCACAGGCTTCCCCATCTGACTTGGCCTATGCGGGCCCTCTCTTGTGTGGCTACCAGGAAATCACTGGCCTCACCTCTCTCCCCTCTACTCACACTGGCCTCCTCGCTGTTCCTAGGGCACACCTGGCAGGTTTGGCCTTGAGGCTTTCTCGTGTTTCACTCCATTCCCTCTGAATGGAATGCCCTTCCCCGACCTTCCAGGACTGGGTCCTTCATTTTATTTAGGTCTCAGTTCAGATGTCCCATTCCCAGAAAAGGTCTCCCTACCCTGTAAAAACTAGGAGCTTTCATCACTGCTGTATTTTTCTTGCTCCTGCCTGTTTATTATCTCATTGGTGTTTCCTATCACCCTCTAATACATGCTCCCTAGAGTCAGGGACTTTGTCTTTTTCACTATTGTGCCTTTTAACACCTAGAACGGAACCTAACACAGAATATAATAGAAACCCAAATATTTGTTGAATAAATAAATTAGTAAGACATGGAAATGCTTATCTTGTAGTTGCAGTATGATTTTCAAAGGCCAGCAAGATAGACAATCTGCCCTTTAGTTTACTGCCTCACAACATTGCTTCCCAGACCTCCCAGTTCTATTTCCTCACATTATTGGTCTCCACATTCATCACAGCTCCTTCCTGACCTCAGTCTGACCCACCTACACATAAAACCCATTATGTTTGTACCTGGCACAAACATTGTCACAAGACTGGCTTTCATACTCATCAGAGATTCTGTTTGTTTTCATAATGGCACCGTTTGCTTTCATCACCTGTTCCGTCAAGGGCTCCACCATAGACTGTATGGTTACTAATGCGTCTGCTTCCTAAATGTCATAGGAGTAGGTCGCTTGCTAAGCCTTCCCTACACTGCGGTCCTATCAGGGCTCTGAGACAGACGAACCACAGTTCTGTCCCTGGTGAGATTCCTCAGTAGGGTGCTAGGTAAGCAGCGGGTGTTTGTCCTCTGTGCCAATTCCTTCCTGCTCATGGTGCTCCCTCCAATTTTGAGTGCTCCTTCATGGACTTCACCATTACCTTGTGAAATCTTGGTTCTGTTCTCAATGATTGCCATTCCCCCCATTATCTTGTTGTTTCATGAGTATTGTTGCCAAAGTCCTAAGCCAACAGGTTGACCCCCTGTTCAATAATTCTTTTTCTGTTATTCTTTTTTTCTTTTTTTGTTTGAGTTAGCCATTGTCTTGGCAAATGTTCTAACTTGTTCTTTCTGGGAAATGAGGCTTCTGTTAGAGACATATGCAGAACAAAGTTCTCACACACTTGGGCGTGTAGATATTCGTAATTCTTTGGTATAAGAAACTGAACTACCCCAGCCTTGACATAAACCCTCACAGACCCTGTGTAGTTGAATATTTATTTGATTTTTAAAGTTAGTGTTAAGTAAAAGTTAATTTAGTTGTGGATACTTATCAGGAGCTTTTAAAAGGACAACTGGCAAAAACTTTTTTGGCTTCAATCCTTAGTGCTAACAGTTTAAATGTAACTTACCATTACAGTTCAACAGTTTAAATGTAACTTCCAGAAACTGGGGGACAGTGATGTAGAAGTAGAATAAACCATATGAAAACTGAGACTTTAAAATAAAAAATATAAATCATTAGATTCTTAGAGGAGGCAAATCCCCTTAGTATAGGAAAAAACCCATAGTAGCTTATGCTGAGATTAAATAAAGTAGTCATTAGTCCAAAAAAAATTAAACTTCACTGGTTGACTTTACTCTCAATTTGGTTAGTGCCATGTGGTTTATGTAACTAATATTTATTTTTCTTACACTGAACATTTTAGTGGAATGCAATTTGAAATCTTCTAAAGTTGGAGAATTATTTGTTTTGGTATAAGCAAAATATTTCTATCAAGATGCAAAGATCTTACCTGAAAAAAAAAACATGCTGAGTTACCTCTAAATAATGTTTATACTTTCTTTTAAACTCAGAAATGACCAAATACTTCAGATAAATAATCACTCTCACTTTTATAAGGCTATAGATAAGGTACTGTCCTTTTAATTTTTAAATACATTAAAACCCTAGCCTTCCACTGAGGGCTGAGTCCTCAAAATTTAGAAAGCTAGTAAATCTCTCACAGTCATTCACTTACTTGATCTCTTCCTGATTTATGTGATGTCATGTGACGTTCAAGTTGGGTTCTGTATGCAAAGGTGTAGCTGCACAGGGAGCAACTAAAGTTATCTTCGTTCTTTTCATGGCGATACTTAATGTGTTCCTTCAGAGAGGTAAAGCGTTTATAGCCTCTGTCACAATAGGGACAGGTGAGTAATTGGGAAAATGCATCTGGTGTTCCTGTAAAACAAATCATACATTATAAACTTAAGCTTTTAGAAAACAGTACCAAAGTTTCACCGAGTCTCTACACTATGTTCCAGATACTATGCTATATGTTCCACTTTATATTTTGATCTTCAAAACAATACAATGATATCATTTCTACTTTATAAATGAAAAAATGTGGCTGGGTGTGGTGGCTCATGCCTTTAATCTCAGCACTTTGGGAAGCCAAGGCAGGAGGATAGCTTGAGGCTAGGCATTTGAAACCAACCCAGGCAACAAGGCAAAATCCCAACTCTATAAAAAATTAAAAAAGAAAATTGACTGGGCATGGTGTCATGGGCCAAAGTCCCAGTTGCCTGGAGGGCAGGAGGATCACTTGACCCCAGAGCTTGAGGCTGCAGTGAACTATGGTCCCACCATTGTATTCCAGCCCGAGTAACAGAAGGAGAGCTAGTCAAAAAAAAGAAAGAAAGAAAGAAAGAAAGAAAATGTGAGGCCCAGAAAGGTTAAATAAAGTCACAGATTCAGAAAAATGAAGTCAGGATTAAAACATAGACTATGTAACCTTCAAGTCACTCTCTTCTCCACTAAACCATAATTCTTCCCTTCTGTTGCACGGTTAACTAGACAAAGAAAAATGAAAGTAAAATCAAAATGTAGATTAAATTTGTAAATGTGTACATATTAAAGTAGAATTGTACTCTACAAAGGAATCTTTCTATTGGTAACGTCTGTATCATTGTTTATGATGTTTTACTGTTGAATCTTCTGATTTTGAATGATACGATAAAGTAATTTTCACGAAATAGTAAGTAATATATAGTCAGGCTATGCTTCCAAGACTCCCTTACAGGTGGGTATGGCCACATGATGGAGTTCAGACTAAGATGGAGGTATATGGGGTCAGGGGAGAAAGTGTGATGGGGGCCAGAGACCCCCAATGTGTAATCCTTCTTGTTCTTTCCCCGAAAGATAAATAATTGACAAATCTGCTGTATAATTGTATATGCATGGCTATAGATAACTTTCAGAAAACAAAGGCAAGATGGATAAATTAGAGTTTACTGAATGAACTATGTTTTTACACAGATCTGTCTGAGCCTGACAATCCTAAAATGTAACACTTTGCCAATTACTATTGTTTAACTAAGAGGGGATTTTTGTATTTGACTTATTTCTCTAAAGAAATAAGTTCCTAAGTGATATCCTATTGTAAATATCATCTCTACTTGCATTTTGAATTCCTTATAGAAAAATAGATATCCAAAGATAATTTCATAAAATTCTCCAAATGCTTTATAAACATATATAACAACTTCATTGAAATTGAAGTCCATATAAATTAAATGACTGCCTTAACCACTAGTCTGCAGATAATAGACTGAGCACTTGAACTCTAAATAGCTATTCAATTACATTGAGGGAGGGGCTTTAAAAAGGTTGGCTAGAGGCATCTGGTACTCACCTCCTCCATAATAGAGCCAAAACAATGAGTAGATAATTACACTTTGAATAGATCATCTAAGAGAGAATACTGGAATTCAAAGGAGATTGACAGGCACCCCATGAAGCAAAGAGGAGGGACCCAAGCACCCTGCTGTATCAGGATCAGCTAGAAACCTGCAGAGGCTTCCCAATTCAGGGAAAGAGTAAATGAGAGACCCCAGCGGTCCACATTCCCACTGCAGACTTCTGAAATATTTGCTATGAAGAAACCCTCTTGGGCCCTGAGACTAACATAGGGAGCAAACTGCTCCAAAGAGGGAGTTCACCCCCAATCCCTGAGCAGCTACAGCACGGGGCCATTGTGAGAGACCAGCCTAACAGTCCAGTAGTCCCTAAATCTTCACATTCCTGGAGCCCTACTGACAGCCCCTGCCCATGGACCACCGCTGCTGTTGGTTACTGAGCTATTGGTAGTGCTTGCAACTCAGTGAAGTTGAGTGCATTTTCATGTGCCCCAGGGAGAGATTCCTCCACATGCACATGCTACTACCACTGAAGCTAAAAAGCAGAAGCCACTGCCAGCAACCCCACTGCCCCGAGCTGTGGAGCTGCCATGCATTTACAAGGGCCCTGAAGACAGGTCACTCTGCCCATAGCCACCACTTCAGGCTGAAGCATGTTCCCAGCTACTTGCCTATACCTGCTGCCACTAAAAGCAGTCCTGTCTTCTATGGTAGCAGGGCCACAGTGCAACTGCTGCAGCCCCGACCTGAGCATTTTGCTGGAGGTCTGCGGATCACCATAGTCCTGTCTACCACAGCCAATGTCTGTACACACAAGCAGGAAATTTAAGGATAGGTCTGTTTGGCCCAGCTCTGCACCCTATTCCCAGCATGAGGAGACCATTCCAGGGCCTGAGGATTACCCATCCTAACCAACAGTGTTGGCACCTAACCACTCCTCAGCCCTGAGGTTGGGCCCACCTGGTACAATCACAGGTGGTACCCACCTGCACAAGCCACTAGGAAGCCTGGGAACTGGCCTGCCCAGCCTGTTCCGCCTGGTATAGCCACCACCAACACCAGTTCTCCAACACAGCTGGAGGACCAGAAGTTGTTTCACCATTAATACTGCTGTTGCCCAACCCACACCTGAGAATGTCCAGGGGCCTGAGAATGTGCCCACCCAGCTGGCACATTGCTGCCACTACTGTCACCTGAGAAAGCTGTCGGGAGGCCCAAGAATTTGCCCATTTGGTCCCATTAACACTGGGTGCCAGCATATACTACCCTGGGGTCCAAAGACAGGCTTGCCACTGCCACCACTGGGGTCCAAGAACAGGCCACTAGTATCTTCACTCCCAGAAAAACTTCACCATGGCCTCCACTAACACGGTACCATAAGCCACCAAAGAAATTACAGATACCATTGACATGGTTTAGAGACAAAGAAATAATATAAAAGCTACACTACAGCATGTACCCCAAGCAAAGCCAAAGTGCCCTATTCAACCAATACCACAAATACATCTTTAGGGAAAATCCTTCCCATGAAAGCAAATCCAAAAAATTAGAAGAAGTGACCAGATATTCAGATATCAAAGTAAGGATGGGGGAAACAAGAAAAGGAAATATGACACCTTCAAAGGAACACAATAATTCTCTAGAAACAAATTCTTATCAAAAATAAATTTATAAAATCCTGGAAAAAGAGTACAAAATAAGATTTAAAAAGCTAAGTGAGATACCAACACACAGACAGATACAATGAAATTAGTAAAACAATTCAGAATATGAATGACAAATTTACCAATGGAATACATATCATAAAAGAGAGCCAAACCGAAATTTTGGAACTGAAGAGTTTATCAAATAAAATACAAAATATATTTGAAAGCTTCAATAATAGACTAGATCAAACAGAAGAAAGAATTTCAGAACTTTAGGACAGGTCTTTTGAAATAACTTAGACAAAAATAAAGAAAATAGAATAAAAACTCATTAACAAATCGTACTGACATATGGGAAACCACAAAGCAACCAAACATTTGAATTTCCATTGACTTAGGAGGCAAAGAGAAAATGAGAGAGACTGAGAATCTGTTTAATAAAATAATATCTATAAAAATATCCCTAAATTTAGCAAGAGATTTATAGATCTAGATAAAGGAATCTCAGGGATCCCCAAATAAATGCAATTTGAAAAGGTCTTCTCTAGGACACAATATGCTAAACTGTCAAAGAAGAATGAATTCTAAAAACAACAAGATAAAAATGTCTAGTCGTTTATAAGCAAAACTCAATCAGACTAACAGTGAATTTCTTAGGAGAAATCCACAGGCCAGGAGAGAACGGGATAACATATACAAAGGCCTGAAGGAAAAATCTGCCTGCCAAGGATACTATACCTGACAAAGTTATCCTTCTTAAGTGAAGGTGAAATAAAGTCTTTCTTAGACAAGCAAAAGCTGAGGTAATTCATTAAGACTGGGCCTATAAGAAATGCTTATGAGTGTCCTACACCTGGTAGTAAAGGGCCAATATCTACCATCAAAAAAATGCACCAAAGTAGAAAATCCATTGACAGCAAACACAAATAAGGTAGACAGAAAGGACTCAAATGTTGCCACTAAAGAAAACCACCAAAGCATAACAATAAACAATCAGAGAGAACAAAAGAAAGATACACAATACAGCCATAAATCAATTAATAAAATGGTAGTATAATGCTCACATATCAATAAAAACCTTGAATGTAAACAGATTAAACTTTTCACTTAAAAAAATAGGCTGAATGGAGTTTTAAAAAATGATCTATCTATATGCTGCATACAAGTAAATCCCCTCACCTATAAAGACAAAAGTGAAAGTGTAGAAAAAAATGTTGCATGCAAATGGAAACCAAATGTGAGCAGAAGTAGCTATACTTATATTAGATAAAACAGACTTCAAGTAAAATAGACAAAGTCACTGTATAATGATGAAGGGATCAATTAAACAAGAGCATATAACAATTCTAAGCATATATGCAACCCAAAATGCAGTACCCAGGTATATAAAAAAGTATTAATAGATCTAAAGTGAGAGATACAACCTAACACAATTACAGTTGGGGATATTTAAACTCTTTTGTCAGTATCAGATAATTAAGACAGAAAATTAAATAATCACTGGATTTAACCTGTCCTTTAGAACAAATGGCTCTAAAAGACATTTATAGAACATTTCTTTCAACAGCTGCAGAATATATGTTCTTATCTGCACAGAGAACACTCACCAGGACTGCCCGTATGTTAGGACACAAAAGAAGTCTCAATAAACAGAAAAAAATCAAAATAATATCAAGTGACTTCTTAGACCACAATAAAATCAGAAGTGAATAATAAGAGGAACTTTGGAAACTATACAAATATGTACAAATTAACCAACATGCTCCTGAATGACCACTGGATCAAGGAAAAGGTAGAAATTAAAAATTTATTGACACAAATGAAAACTGAATCACAACATACCAAAACATATGTGATACAGAAAAAGCACTGCTAAGAGGAAGTTTATAAAAGGGAAGCAACAAATACCTACATCAAAAAAAAAATTAGTAGAAAGATTTTAACAAAACAATCTAATGATGTACTTTAAGCAACTAGGAAAGAAAGAACAAATCAAACTCAAAATTAGTAGGTAGAAGGAAAGAAGTAATACAGATCAGACCAGAGCCAAATGACACAAAGATTTAAAAAACAATACAAAGGAACAACAAAATGAAAAGTTTTTGGAAAGATAAATATAATCAATAAACCACTGACTAACCAAGAAGAGAGAGAAGACCCAAATAAACAAAATCAGAAGCAACAAAGGAGACATTACAACCAATACTACAGAAATACAAGAAATCATCAGAGACTATTATGAGCAACTATATGCGAACAAACCAACAAGCTGGAAAACTTAGAGGAAATGGAGAAATTCTGGGACACATACCACCTACCAAGATTGGATCAAGAAAGAAGGAAAACCTCAACACATTAATAACAAGTAATGAGACTGAATCAGTAATAAAAAGTGTCCCAGCAAAGAAAATCCCAGGACCAGAGGACTTCACTGCTAAATTTTACCCAACTTTTAAAGAAGAACTAACAAAAATTCTCCTTCAACTATTTCAAAAAATTGAAAAGAATTTAATGTCATCCTTCTCTATTTCTTCCCAAAACTTCGAAGTTGATTATTTGAACACTAAACTAAATATTTCCACTCAATTAAAAATTGCGGAAAAATAAAATCAGAGTTAAGATGTTAACATCTTCCTAAAAGTCACTATGTTGCCCTCAGTAGAGTGCTGTGGCATCACTGCTCACAGCAACCTCAAACTCTTGGGCTTAAGCGATTCTCTTGCTTCAGGCTGCTAAGTAGCTGGGACTACTGGTGCCTGCCACAAGGCCGGGCTACCTAAATATGTTTTAAGTGACTTCCTAGTTTTGGTACAGATTGTTCGTCAAATTTCTTATAGGAGCATTTGCATGCTATTTTCATGTGTTTATAGTGTGTGAGTATGTGGTGGGCAGAAGGAGCCTATTTCTTTTGAGAAGAGTCTGAACTCATTTTTACTGCATTTTCCCTATTCTATACGTTGACTGTTTGTATCAGAGAGGACTTCAGCAGATCCAGAAAAACCATTATCTCCCCTAGGTTAGCATATTTTGACCCAGACAACAATGTTTTTGTTGGCTAAAAGAATAGTGGAAAAGAATCAAAGGGCAGTAAGGGTCATCCTAGTTCTCATTGCTACTGCCTGCTGCCATGTGAACAAATGGACACTGACGTCCTGGCACTGTTCTAGGTAGTTCATGTGTGGTGGCATTACCACTATGCACATGACAGCCAATAATTTATTCTTGTTATTGCAATGATGTCCTATTTTATTAATCCATTTTATTAATAGATTACCCTCTATAAGCACCTGCAACAAATTTTGGTCCTCAAAAAATGTTCCCTATAGAATAGATTCCCATAATAGAGAAAAAAATAATGGAAGTAATAATCCTTTAAAGAGAGAAGGAAAACAACAGTTAAGGTCTACTTACCATTTTCGTCGTGACCACTGGCTTCTGGCGTGCCTTGCCTCTGGTCCTCTTCTGGTGCCTCAGGATAAATGACAGCAGTGTCTTGTTGCTGCAGGAACTCTTCAACATTTGGATCATGGTTTTGCTCATTTTCTGCGTCTGAGTCGCATTCATCATCTTTTACTAAAAGAAATTTTTACTTTATGAAAGAAAAGCAATTTCACCAAAGGTTTTATACGGCTTCTCTAAATAAGAAATTATCTTGGGAGAACACAAAATTATTCTGGAATTTTTTATGACATATTAACTGAAAACTAAAAAATGAATTCCACTAGTTTTTTTAATGTTCTGGTAAAAAGTCTTTTTGCTTTATTAATTTAAAATCCTATGAATGTCTGAAATTCTTACAATATCTCTTTCAAGTTTTAGAATCATACTTTTATTAATAAAGAAAACAGAAAATAATATAGTTGAATGAATTATATCTCAATTAATGATGAAGTAAGGAAAAAAGAAAACTTTACTTCTCCAAGGCCACCCTCCTAAAAAATCTATCATAATGTTTATTTAAAGTTGCAGAGTAGTCCCCCCTTATCCACTGTTTCACATTCCATGATTTCAGTTACCTATGGTCGACTATGGTCTAAAATCAAGTGAAGATAGCACAATAAGATATTCTGACACAGAAAGAGATTATATATACATAATTTTTATTACAGTATACCATTATAATTATTTTATTTCATTGTTACCGCTGTTAATCTCTTATTGTACCTAATTAACAAACTAAACTTTTTCATAGGTATGAACGTATATGAATGTATAGAAAAAAATATCACACAGTAAAAACTCTGCAGTTGACCACCTCCTTAAGTTGACCTGCTTTTCACAGACTGGACATGTACTACATGTATGTATCAGTATAGTAGGCCTAGTTCCTTATGTTGACCAGTTTGCTTCTGTCATGTGAGTGGTCAACTTACAGAGGTTCTCTCTCTCTCTCTCTCTCTATGGCTTAGTATTCTCTGCAGTTTCTGGAGTCCACTCTGTGGGGGATTTGGAACATGTCCCCCACAGATAACAGGGAACTCCTGTACTTTTAGTCTGACTCATCCTCATATAAACAGTTTCAGTTAGTTCAGTTATATGATTTCTTAGAAAATGGCTTAAATAATGATTTATAGTTAAAAAGATTACTAACTGCATTTCTACCTCAATAAATGTGTAACTATGGGATTAAGAGAGAGCCAATCTTTGGCTTTAAGAGATTTAAGAGATGACACAGTGTTTTTATTCTCTGAAGCAGCCCAAGTGCTGTCCAGTCTCTATAGCACACTGCTGCACTACGGTCTCCCAGTCTCCTGCACTGGCCTGAAACAGCCCGAGCAGTGTCAGTCTCCACAGCACACTGCTGCACCACGGTCTCCCAGTCTCCTGCACTGGCCTAAAGCAGCCCGAGCGGTGTCAGTCTCCACAGTACACTGCTGCACCATGGTCTCCCTGTCTCCTGCACTGGCCTGAAGCAGCCAGAGCGGTGTCAGTCTCCACAGCACACTGTTGCACCATGGTCTCCCTGTCTCCTGCACTGGCCTGAAGCAGCCAGAGCGGTGTCAGTCTCTACAGCACACTGCTGCACCATGGTCTCCCTGTCTCCTGCAC